CTGACTAGAGACCACAGAAGGTGAAAAACAGAATGGATGAGAAGAAACCTCAACAAGTCAATGATCCAAAATAAGCCGGAAAGCAAAAACAGGCTGTGAGAACTGGAAAATAATACCCCCCAAAAAATCAACAAAACCAAAAGTTGGTTCTGCAAAAGATCAATAAAATTGACAAACCTCTAGCCAAACTAACAAAGAAACAATGAGAGAAGACACAAATTACTGACATAAGTCATGAAAAAGGAGTCATCACTACTGATCCTCTGGACATTAAAAGGATAATAAAGGAACACTTTCAACAACTCTATGTCTACAAATTTGATCACTTAGATGGAAATGACTAATTCCTTGAAAGACACAAACTTCAAAAACTCACACAAGGAGAAACAGATAAACTAAGTAGGCCTCTATTTAATAGAGAAATGCAATCAATAAGTAATAACCTTCCAGAAATGGAAGTACCAGGACCTGACAGTTTCACTGGTGAATTCTACCAAACATTTAAGGAAGAAATTAAACCAATTCTCTACAATCTCTTCCAGAAAACAGAAGTAGAGGGAGCACTAACTATGAGTCCAGCATTACCCTAAAACTAAAACCAGATAAAAATATTACAAGAAAGGAAATCTATAGACCAATATCTTTCACTAACATAGATGAAAAAATCCTCAACAAGGTATTAGCAAATCAAATCCAACAATGTATGAAAAGAATTATATACCACAACCAAGTGGGATTTATTCCAAGTATGCAAAGCTGGTTCAATATTTGAAAATCAGTCAATGTAATCCATCACATCAACTGGGTAAAGTAGAAAAATCGTATGGTCCTAATAGTTGATGCAGAAAAAGCATTTGACAAAGTCCAACACCCATTCATGATTACAAATACTCTCAACAAACTAGGAAGGGAGAGGAACTTCCTCAACTTGATAAAGACTATCTAAAAAATCCTACAATACCACACTTGTGAGAAACTAGCTGTTTTCCCCCTAAGATCAGGAGCAAGGAAAGGATGTCTACTCTCACTGCTCCTATTCGACATCATACTAGAAGTCCTAGCTAATGCAATAAGACAATAAAAGGAAATAAAAGATATACAGATTGGAAAGAAAGAAAGAAAACTGTCTTTGTTCACAGATGACATGAATGCTTATGTGGAAAATCCCAAAGAATCAATAATAAAAAAAAACCTCCTAGAACTAATGTCAGTATAGCAAGGTTTCAGGATATAAAGGTAATATACAAAAGTCAGTTGTTTTCCTACATATACCAGCAGTAAACAATAACCCCCATCAGATGAAATACTTTGGTATAAATCTAACAAATATGTACAGGATCTATATGTAAAAGCTGTAAAACTCTCAAAAAAAGAAATTAAAAAAAGATAAATAATGGAGAGATATTCCAAGAACATGGAATAAAAGACTCAATACTGTTAAGATATCAATTCTTCCCAACTTGATCTAAGATTCAACGCAATCCCAATTTAAATCCCAACAAACTGTCTTGTAGGTACAACATTCTAAAATTCATATGGAAAGACAAAGACCTAGAATAGCCCAAAGCATACTTAAGAATAATAAAGTTAGAAGACTTAACACTCCCCAATTTCAAGACTTACTATAAAACTATGGAAATCTGGACAGCATATTGGTGTCCTAAAGAACACACTGATCAATGGAACAGAACAGTAAGCTCTTAAACAGACCCACACAAATATAATCAACTGCTTTTTGACAAAAGAGCTAAGGCAATGCAGTGAAGAAAGGACAGTCTTTTCAACAAATGGTGAAGGAACAATTAGATGTTTACGTGCAAAGTAATTAACCTAGATATAGACCTTACACCTTTCATAAGAATTAACTCAAAATTGATCATAAATCTAAATGTAAAACTCTAAAAACTTCTAAAAGAAAACAGGAGAACATCTAGGTGACCTTAATACAGTGATGAATTTTTACAGGCAATAGCAAACGTACGACACGTTAGAGAAAAAACTAATAACCCAGACTTTTAAAATTAAACACTGCTGCTCTGCATAAGTCACTGTTAAGATAATGAAAAGCCACACACTTGGAGAAAATATTTACAGAACACATGAAGATGTATATCAAAAGTATACAAAGTAATCTTAAAACACAACAAGGAAATAAAACAGCCCAATTAAAAAATGGGCAAAATAGCTACATGGACATCTGTTGTCTAATCATGAGTTTGTCTGATCTTTGTTTCAGGTTCCTGGCATGTGAATTCTAAAACGCTTGGAATTTCTCAAACAATAGGAGTATCTTAGTTATTCTTGAGCCCCTTGGATCACACCTGAGTTTATGCTAATGAGGTGACCTATGGTGGGCCCCTAGAGCTTCAGGATGGGGGCTGGCCCTGCCAGAAAGATCAATCATGTGGTCTGAGGACTGGGGCTTTGAGTGAAGTGGTATCAGCCCAATCTCCAGGGAAGAGGGAGGACTGGAGACTGAATTCAATTATGTGGCAAATGATCCAATCAATTATGCCTACATAATGAAACCCCAATAAAAACTCTGGACACCAAAACTCAACAGAGCTTCCTACTTGGTGAACACATGTACAGGGAGAGTGATGCACCCTCATTTCACTAGGAAAGGACACAGTAGCTCTGTGTTTGGGATGCTCTCAAAACTTGCCCCATGTGTCTCTTCATTTGGCTGGTCCTGGTCTGTATCCTTTATAATAAAACTGTAATCATAAGTACAGTACTTTCATGATCCGTAAGTCTAGACATTCTGGAAGAAGGTTCCAGAGAATATTTAGCTACAAGATAGTGGGGAAGAAATGATTGAACTTCCTTTCCTTTGAAGTTTTGTATAATCTGTAGTAAACATGCTGGGAGTGACTGTGAAGCCGATATAGGAACTAAGGAATGGTCCTCTGAGAAAAAACTGCTATTTCCTTGGAAGGTTCATGCCCGGATTATCTCAAAGGGAGCTCCACTGAGGCTATTCACAATTGCATCTCTCTGGCTACTTATAGGGCTCTGGATTCCAGAACCTACTTTTTTCTTTCTTTCCAATGTTCCTAAAATGACAAATACACATAAAAGAATATTCATAACCTTTCATATACACCGGGGGTGCCAAAAAAATGTATACACATTTTAAGCGATTCAAACACTTTGGTCAGTGTTGCTCTAGCAGTAGTTCACCCTAATCAGAAGTGTCTAGACACTCATGGTAACCACTTTGTGTACCTCTTGTAATTGCAGAAGTCAAATGTGGCTTATGGTCATCTTTTGTTATCGATATATATTAAAACAGTTTTTTCCTTTTTTAAAATGTGTATACATTTTTTTAGCATCCTCTGTATAAAGCTAAACTTTGTTCTTACCCATTGTTAGCTACAAAGTAAACTTAATTTCTGCCTACCACTATCTTCTCCTTCACCTCTGTAGGTCTGTTTCTATAATGGTAAAGTGGCTTAATGAAGATTAAACAGTTTGATGACAGAGCCAGGACTAGGACCAGGTGCCTCTCAGTCCAGTACTCTCCCCTGCATCTTTATTAACAGTGAAATTTGTGGGGAGATGGATGAAAGAGACAGCTACTAGGAAACTTTCTTTTTCCTTTCTCTGAAATTTGCTCATCTTTCCTTAAAACCCAAGATGTATAATAGCTGCTTATTCATCATATTTGTTAATTCCACCACTTTGTAATCTTTTTCAAGTTACTTAACCTCTCTGAACTATAGTTTCCTCAACTGTAAAAAGGAATAATATTAGATACTTCATATAGTAGGTGTCAGGATTAATTGAGATATGGTATATAAAGTGGCAGGCATGTTGTACATACAGTAATAAACAGTAGCTGATTATACCATCATCATCATTATCCTCATCAACATATGTATGGGAGCCTAGGAAGGTAAGTGGGATATACAAAATACTAAATTTCAGCCAATGTTCTCATCAATTAAACTCTGCAATAAACCTTGACTCCCAGCTTCCTGTAAGGTGCTATACAGATGTTTTGCTTACAGAGTTTCTTATCTTCCTTAGTCTATCATACTTCATCCAAACTCCCCCACAAAATCTTTAGGACTTTTTACCACAAAAATTGGGGTTAAATACAAGGCATACCACATATTGGGGGAAAAAAAAACCTCACTTGGAACCAGCAGAAAACCCAAAATTGTTGCCAACTCCCTAACTATAGCAGTGTCCCACATGTAGTAGAAGACAGTACCACTTTTATACTCATTTATCACCTTCAAATCCAAGGTTCATAACATTACTAGTATTTATAAAATGGGCATAGTTGTTGATTATTCCTCTCCTTTTGCCCTAATAAAGTCTTTTGAGATAAGTGTTCAAAGGGTAGGTCTTACCGCAGCAGCAGTACATAGCCAGTGTAAAGCTGACCATCACAAAAAGAAGCCATACGCCAGATGGGCACTCCAGAGGGGTCTGGACCCAAGAGGAAGCAGAAACTCAGTCTGCTGTTTCTGGATGGGAACCGATAGAGTCAAGTGTATATCTTTGCATACTGACCCTACTCTACGGGTTCCATGCTTCCTTATCCTGTTCCTCGCTTAAGGTTTCCTCCAATCCTTTATTTAGCTAGTGGAGTTATCTACTAGGAGTGAAATGGGCCATCTCAAAAAAAGATAGCTAAGGATTTCTGGCAACTCATGTGAACCAGTGATTGAATGCCAGTGTGACTCATACAGAGGCAGTTTTGCAACTCTACTCAGAAACAGGTATATACTCACTCTGCAATATTCCCGATAGGCAAGGCTTTCATATAATAAAGGTGAAACACCAAAACTAATCAGAGTCTAGACAGATTAGGGGTACTTCTTAGAAGCCAAACACTCTAGTAGAAGTATTTGTTTCACTTTCTATATTTAGATTACTATGAACTCCTCCACTCCCATTTGCTATCACTAAAAATAATTGTATGAAAGGTTACAAAATATTATACTTTAATGCAGTTTGTACTTATACAATAATGATGACTGTGCCAGAATAGAAATGAGTGCCTCTATGGTTTTTGTTAGCTCACGTGAGTTCCTGGAGGGCTTGTTTTGATCTCTGCAGATCTGGCAGGTAGTGAGAAAGCAATCCTTCTGCCAGTTGCTCCACAGCTTTGTCTTCTACGTTCAAGTCCTCTATTAACCCTTCATCTGGAGAAGTGTCACTTAAACCTGTCCCCAAGCAAAAACCAAATTTAGGAAGCTTTTGAACTGAAACAGGGATAAGAGAGTAGTAGGGAGGCAGGGAAGGAGGCTGGTGGTGGGGTTCAGCACAACATACAGGGTAGCACAGGTAGCCTTCTTTTCTTTAAATTTTACCTTCTGAGTATCCTCTAAAAACAGATTATGAGCACTCAAAATGTGTTTTAAAGCTACTAGAATAAGAATCTAGATTAAAAGAACATTAAACATATATAAAATTCTGTGTGTTTATGTATTTTTCATGACACAGGATTTAGAGTTCTCAATGGATTATTAAAGGAGTCTGAGGCCTAAAAGTGGGAAACAATTACTGAACAAAAGCAAGAAATTCTTCTTTTCAAAAGCATACAGAAATTATATCTATTTTAAAAATGCAATGCCTAAGAATGTTTTTTTCATTTCTATGGAAGTAAAAATAAGGGCCAACATTTATTTTGCATTTAGCTTGATATATTATTGACATGTAAAAGTCAGGCTGTTTTGTCATTTGTTAGGAGAGAGATTTTTTTAAGAATTTCTCTTCCTTGAGATCAGCACCTTAATTTACCACAGAAAATAATGTATAATAGTCTTGTAAGTAAATCTAGATATGATGCCAAGAATATGATATGCCTCATATCCTTTGAATAAAAGCAGTGTAAGCATTGTGCCAGGCATTCAAAAATGCCTAAAATGAATACCCATCAATGACTACTACTACCAAGAAAAATATAAAACAACTTCTAACCAGTGTTCACTGATTGGTTTGTAAGATTTTAGAATCACTGATTCAGAATGAGAAAAAAAAATGAAATGGTAACATTACTAAAATTGTACTCTAAAAGCATTTTTTAACTAACATTAAACCCTGAAACACCTCTCTTTAATAATAACCTGCTAATAATAACATCAAATTAGATCATTATATAGAATACATTTATTATGATACATTGCTTTTAGCCCATTTCTAAGTATAATTTTACCACAATTTGAAATTTTGGCAAGACTGAGGAAAACAACATGCTTCATATTCAAAATACGCTTTTAGAGATCAAAATAAAATAGTATGGTTTTTCTGATCCTGAGAAACATGAATTTAGAAATTCTCAAAGGTGCAAGGCAATATTCAGACAGGTTAGACTAACTAGAAACTGAAGCATTCCACAAGTGAAATAAAAATATAATGGAGAAAGTGGAGCATTTACAGATATTGCCACTGATGTACCATCAGATGGGAAGTAACTAAAATATATCTGAGAATTAATGCCATTACTTAAGGCTTGATGACAAATATAGTGGAAACAACAGCAACTCTCTTTAAGAAAATATAGAAAACGTAAGTATTATAGATAAACAAAAACACCCAAATGAGGTCATTTCAACTATAAGGAAAAATAACAACTAATACACCTCCCTTATAATATATATACATCTTAACTCACAGACCCCCTCCCTACCCTGCCCCAATCTTCTGGTTAATTACTGGAAGTGTCTAAGTTACTCATGTTTTTACATGCATTTAGTTTCTAAGTTCAAGGTACTTTACTGTGGGAGATTAAAGAAAAAGAATGGGACCTTACCCTATTCATACAAGAAACATTGGCTGCATGTCTACATTATGTACTAGTTTCTGAGTCCATAATATATTAGGCAAGTCCCCTTCCTTGAAAGGGCTCAGTACAGGGGAACAGAATATGAGCAGTGTCATTAGAGAAACAGAAACTTATGGTAATTCAGAGGAGAGAAGATCACTTTCACCAGGGAAGTCTGGGAACAAGTCCTAAAGGGGGGTATGCTGTGGGCATTTGCGCTGAAGCTTGAAGAATGGACAGAATTCTCACTTCTTTTTCTTCTTTAAAGTGTTGTTCTTGTAAAAACTTAAAACACAAAAGAGGGGCGCATAAAAGCTGAAAAGTAAAAATATTCCTTTTCATGCCCTGAGAGTGTCACTCTGGAGCTTCTTACACAGCCTTCAAGAAATTGTCTGCATACCCATGCAAAAACCCTGTTTTTATCACTAATATTACTTGTATTGTTCTGCAACTTTTCTCTTAAATATATATCTTATATATCTTTCCAAATTAACATATATGGATCTACTACATTCTTTCTAAGTGACTAGAAGTCTAGCATATTTTGTTTAGCCAGCTACCTATTGCTATGGACTGAATGTTGTGTTCCCACCGAAATTCATGTTGCTGTCCAAACCGCCAATGCAACGGTATTTGGAGGTCTGGGCTCTAGGAAGTAATTAGACTTCACTGAGGTCATGAGAGTGGGGCCCCCATGATGAGACTATTGTCCTTAAGAGAAAAAGGAGAGCAGAATTCTCTCCCTCCATGAAGACAGTGATAATGCAATGGTCTGCAAGATCAGAAGAGGGTCCTTACCAGGAACCTCATCTGCCAGCACTTAGATCTTGGACTTTGCAGCCTCCAGAAATGTGAGGAATAAATGTCTATTGTTTAAGCCACCCAGCCTGTGAGTACTTTCTATAGCAGCCCAAGTAGACTGAGACACACATGGATGGGTATTTAGGTTATTTTCACTTTCTGCTATTTCAAACAGAAAGTGAGATTTCTTGCTTACAGAGTGAGCGTTCTTGCTTATCTTTGCACACTCGTGTCACTGTTTTTGTAGGACAAATTCTTAGAAGTAGACTAATGGGACAAAGTGTTAAACGCATTTTTTAATACAGTGCAAAACTGCCTTCCTAAGAGATGACACCAATTTACACTCCCACCAACAAACTAAGGGCTACGATTTCTAAATGGGTAAGAGCACTAAGACAGGAGTAGAAGAGATAGGAAAGGTGAAAATATAGGATTGCTCTGGACAGAGAAGGCAGCTGGATCATGGGACGTATGTAGTAGTGAGCTACTAAGAACGGTGTGGCCAGCCTATGAGGACTCTTGAGTGCCAAGCTAATGGGTTTGGCTCTTGGTTTAGTAAGTAGTTAGGAGCCATTTAAGGTTTCCAAGCAAGGAAATGACATGATTGGAGCTTTATATTGGGGCAGTGACATGACAGCAGTGGGACAGATGGGGTGGAAGAATAAGAGACTGGAGATGCACTACTCGCATTACAACTGTTGTGATAAGGGTGAAAATAGAAAGAGGAGTTGGAAACTGTACAGTAGAATCCCCTAGACTAAATAGAGGTAGGAGGCAAGTGAGAGGAGACAGTCAAGAGTATTCAAGTTTCAAGTGAGAGTGACTTGGAACCATTAATAGGATCAGATATCTATTTTTATTTACATACATGCTGTAAGTGAGGTTAGTGCAAAATCACCATGTCAAAGTAGCCAGCAAGCAGACGGAGGGGCAAGTGGAGAAGGACCCAAGCTGCACACATATACAATGAAGTCATATTTATATGATGGTGTAAAGAGAAAAGTATGACCAAGAAAGGGCTGACAGCACTATTTTGAAATAATCCCTCTATTTCTGGACCGGGCCGAGGAAGAAAAGGCACATCCAAAGCCCTGAAGCCTTTCTTATTTAGGGTTCCTCATCTGAACCACAGAGAACACAAAACTACTTTGAGGGACTATTTTCTCAATTTCAAGAAATTGCAGACAATTTCAAGAAATAGTACCATTCTGGGACACTTCTCCAAAGAGGATATACACATGGCCAGTAGACATATGAAAAGATGCTCAACATCACTAATCATCAGAGAAATGCAAATTAAAACTACAATCAGGTATAACTTCATACCTGTCAGAATGACTATCATCAATAAATCTAACAAACAAGTGCTGGTGAGGATGTGAAGGAAAAGGAATCCTGGTTGGTGAAATTGAAATTGGTGCAGCCACTGTGGAAAATGGTTTGGAGCTGCCTCAAAAAATTAAAAATAGAACTACCTTATGACCCAGCAATTCCACTTCTGAGTATTTATCCAAAGAAATCTGAAACACTAATTTGGAAAGATACATGCACCCTTGCACATATGCACCCTTGCACTAGCACTATTTACAAGGGCCAAGATGTGGAAGCAATCCAAGTGCCCAGCAGTAGACAGCTGGATAAAGATGTGGTATATATACACAATGGAATATTACTCGGCCATAAAAAAGAATGAACTCTTACCATTTGCAACTGGATGGACCTAAGTGAAATAAGTCAGACTGAAAAAGACAAATACCATGATTTCACGTATATGTGGAATCTACAGAACAGAATAAATGATCAAACAAAACAGAAACAGACTCATAGATACAAAGAACAAACTGATGGTTGCCAGAGGGGTTGGGGAGCTGGTAGTTACAAAACAAATTGGTAGTTACAAAACAGTCATGGGGATGTAAAGCATCGAGAATATAGTCAATAATGCTGCAGCAACTATGTATAGTGCCAGGTGGGTACTAGACTAATCAGGGAAATCACTGCATAAATTATATAAATGTCTAACCACTATGCTATACACCTGAAATTAATATAAAATAATATTGCATGTCAACTGTAATTGAAAAAAAAATACATAATTTTTAAAAAAATTAGTAGTAACATTCCAGCTGCAGAGCAAGTCAATTCATCACATTCAATGGACACCTTAGGGCCTTAGAGCTTAAATCCCTCTTGTAACTCGGGTAGAGAGAGACTGCTGGAGGAACAGGTATGCCTTAATGTCAACCAGCAAGAGAGCATTTCATGAGTGACTAGTTAATAACAGTGGATACATCAAGTCTTCGAATTACAAAGCGATCATCCTGACAAATTCATCCTCAACCACTAACGTATAACAAATAGACAACAATGTGCTGGGGTCACGTACACGCAGTGACTTCACCCTCAAACGCCTCCAACCGCACCCAGACACCGCTTCTCCTTTCCCACCCATTCCACTGGGCAGGAGGGCCGCATGGTTCGCCACTTTCGCGCGGGGGGGGTCACAGCCCCGGGCAGCCGCTGCAGAAAACCGCTTACTCCCCCGAAGCGGCCGGGGCGACCCCACCACTCACTCCATCCTGGCTGCCCGCCCCGCCCCGTTGCACGTACCCGGCATCGGCTCCCCGGGCCCCAGGACGAAGGGTGGCCCTGCCAGGACCCCATCCGGGGGGGGCGGCTCAGGAACACTCATGTCCCTACCGCTGGCAACAGGGAAGGGGCAGTTGTGTAGTCAGGCGCAGAAAGGCGGGACCACACGCTACGAGCGCCCAGTCGGACAGAAGCAGCGGTCGCACCCGGAAGCGACGGAAGCTGACGGCCGTGGGCTCGGGGCACGTGATCGTGGGTCCGTGCCAGTCCCCGCCCCTTTCTGCCTCCACCACCCCCACCCCCTGACACTCCCAGGACTCCGCGCTGACGTCGTAGTTGAGTAGAGGGCGCGGTGTCAGCGGTGCCAACTGTGCGGGGCTGAGATCCCAGCGACCCATTCTGGGGGGGGCGGCAAGAAGAGGGTGGTGACGGGAAGGAGCTGCTGGCTCCCGAAGACCGGAAGAGCTTAGTTGAACCTGGGCGGGCAGCCAGGCTTTGTTCACTGAGGCCCGGTACTGCTTTTCAGTGTTGTGTTCGTGTTAAGGAAACACTTTTAAGAACAATTCCCTGGGATTTGGACCATTAAAAAATGAAGTGTTGAGCTCTCTGTTAGCTTCAGCCTTGCTGATTGGGGGTTAGCCAGGATTCCAGTCGCCCCTCTTTGATTGTAGGTTGCAGCATCTACTGAAAAAATTCAGCAGTCTTACTAGAAACTGCATTTGCTGAGATCCTGTGGGATGTCACGAGTTTTGATGAAAAACACTTAGAAATAGGCAGAAGGAGCCTCCGACCAAATAAAACCATCAACTATGCCCTTCCTATCTTAGACCCTCTCACCTGGACTGTAATTGTGGCTTCCTAATGTTGCACCCCAAAATTGCCTGTCCAGACAATTTTCTGTGCTGCAGCCAAAGCTTGTCTTCAAAAAAAATGAGAATTTACGTCAAGCCTCAGAAACCTGCCCCTATTCCCCAATGCCCTTACCAGTGCGTTCACGTCCCTTCTTCTTTTGGCCTCCCTTCCTCTCAAAATTAGCTCCTCCTTACTGCCTGAGGTATGCAGAATAATGCCCCCCACCCCAAAGAAAAAGGTAATTAAGATTGCTTGTCACCTGACCATAAAATGGATTATCCTGTATTATTGAGTGGGCCCAATGTAATCACAAAAGCCTTCAAAATTAGAAGAGGGGTGTCAGAAGGGAGATACGACTATCAAGGATCATTAGAGAGTTGCAACATTGCTGGCTTTGAAAGTAGCGGAAGAGGGGCACCAGCAAGGATTGCGGTAACCTCTAGAAGCTGGAAAAGCCAAGGAAATGGATTCACTCCTAGAATAGAACTCACCCTGCTGACATCTTAATTTTATCCTAATGAAAACTGTGTTGGACTTCTGACCTACAGAACTAGGATAATAAATTTGTATTGCTTTATTTTGTTGTAATTGGTTACCACAATAGCCAAGTAATGCACTACCCTTCAAACATCCTTTGTTCCATCCAAGCATGGAATGTCTGCAGTGTTCTTGCTCATGATTCAGCCTGGGATATTCTATTCGAAGTCCTACTCATCTTTCAAGGCTTGGCCTAAATAATACCTTTCATTTAAAATCATTCACAATCCCACCTCTCCTTTCAACTTTCAAAAGTTACAGTAATAACCTTTTCTCAATTACAAAGCATCCTCCTGCTATTTAGCACGTAATCCATGTTTGTATTAGTCAGATATATCCCTTGACTTCCTTTATTAGATTGCAAGCTCCAAACAGAAACCATTATTCACAGAGAACCATAATAGGTTCTTAATAAAAATTTGCTGAATGAAGTATTGATTCACCAGCCCCAAATTCCAAATATCTATAATCTCCAAAGTGTGAATCACACAAGATGGCACTTGATATACTGCCTAGTATCCTTAGTTGATTGTTAGTATTACTTCCCAAATAGACACTAAAGCCCTTTAGAATAGACCCATGTTCAATGGGTTGTCTGCAACCTCTTTATCTCTTAGCTTAGTATTAAGCATATTACTGGGATTTTAAAATATTGGTTATTTGATTTTAATGGGTGAAGTTAAGCTGTCACACCCTGCCTATTTTTATCATCTTTTACTCTTTTATTTTGCTTTAAGGAAAAATTCATCTTGGGATGTTTGACAAGTGTTCTTTTTCAGCATTTTAACTTACTTAAAGTAACAAAAATGAATCAGGTAAATAGAGAAGGAGGACTTTCCACTTTTCTCATTGTCCTTTTCCTTCTCCCCCTCTCCCTGCAGATTTCAGCTCAATGTATCAAGTTCTTCTTAAAGATCCTCTGTGTTCCAGCCTCCATTAAGTAAGCACTGTGCACCTAACACTATGTGACACAGAGTTCAAAAACAAAAGGTTGGAATTTGATGCCAAGGGAGTAAACACAGTTCATTGAGTTATATGTGTCTTTCAAAATGCTCTTTATTTCCCCACTAGTAATAGCCATTCTCTTTTACGCACCAAAGTTATTATAATCCACTCCAAATAGTTGAGTACCTAAAGATTGGACTAGGCACTGCAGGGTGTTAAAAACAAGGTAAAAATTCTGGTTTCTGTCCACCAGGAATTTATATTATACCATTTATGCACAGTGGGATTAGAGAACAGTAAAGGGCTAAATTATGTGGAACAGACCTAGAGGATTGTAAAGGATGTTAATGATGTCATACTAGTTTTCTATTGCTGCTATAACAAATTACCACAAACTTGGTCGCTTAATACAACACAAATTTATTATCTTACAGTTCTGGAGTTCAGAAGTCCAAAATCAGTTTTAGTAGGCTAAAAATCAAGGTGTCAGCAGGGCTGGTCACTTCTGGAGGCTCTGAAGAAGAATCCGTTTCCTTGCCCTTTCCAGCTTTGAGGCTGCCCACATTACTTGCTTCGTGGCCCCACCTCTCATGGCCTTTTCTCCCTCAACTACCATTGCTGCATTGCCTTCTCTCCTACTCTGATCCTCTGGCCTCCCTCCTATGAGGACCCTTGTGATTGAGCCCACCTGCATAACCCAGGATAATCTCCCCACATCAAGGTCCTTAATTTAACCACATCTGCAAAGTTCCTTTTGACAAATAAGGTAACATTCACAGATTCTGGGAAACTGAAAGTGGATACCTTTGGGGTGGGGGGCATTATTCAGGCAACCACAGATGTGCAATTATATAGTGCACAATTGGGAAGTAATTAGAAAAATTTTTAAACTTAATAGAGGAAATGAATTTAAGCTGTACCCTGAAAGACTGGTCAAATGTAATATGCAGAGAAAAACTAGTAAAGCCTTCCAACAGGAAAAATGCCATAAATAGCAAGAGTATACTTCTGACTCAAGGACCTCAGGTGCTGTCTTTTGAGGAAGACAAGAGCAACAAAGTTTAAGTGGTTAGTAAAAGAACCTAATGGAAAAAGATGTATAGACTTTTAGACCAAAAGAACTTAAGAAGACAAAAGATAACACAAAACGTAGTCATATAGCTTTGAAGAAGTTAGTGCAAACAAATAATATCCAGTAAGAGTTAAACACTGTGTGTATTCATAGCAAAAGGAAAATAAATCCATTGGATTTCAAGGACCTTGAAATATAAAGGGGAGAATAAATATACAATAAATACATCAAAACCATTTATTCACCTGTCAGTTTTACTATTTTCTCTAAATTTTCCTATATCCTTTATTTTTGGTAACCGAAACTGTGTAGATAGGTAGGTAGGTTGATAGGAGATTCAAGTAAATAAAGAAAATGTTAATACATGAATATTTCCTATTCCTTTTATTGACCTGGATAGCCTATATTTAGAACGTGCTCAGATTTGATAAAATCTACTCCCAGTTTGACCTACATCTCTTACAGGATTCACTTCCCTCCTTCCCTTTAACTCTCTCCATCCCTTTCCAAAAACAGAAGAAAGAATGGGGGTGGGGGGCAAAAAGATTTGAGTGAGAAAGATGTAGGGACCATGGGCTGCAGGGAAAGTGATGGAAAAAGGGAAGGTATACAGGAGAAAGATGCTTAGGAAGATGCTTATGCTTCTAATGGATTAAAGTGTTGGAAATGTCAACACATTCATATAGGGTGATGTGTTTGCAAAATAATAAAAAGGAAGGAAGGAAACTGAAGGTAGAAAATCAGAGAAGCTGGGGTACTTCTCAGTTTACTATTTTGCCTATGGTTAACCAATCTGAAAATACTTCTCGAACAATTTTAACTACTTTTCTTATATTTACATGAGAAATATTCTTTCTCATTAGCAAAGTGATAAAATACTTCCACCCAATGCAACTCTGCCACACTTCCCATCATTCCTTCCTTGCATTATGTAAAAGACATATTTTTACATGGAGTATTTCACCAACACATCCCCCTAAACTTTACCACCAAAAAGTTTGTAAAAATATATGCAGAGATCAAAAGCAATGGCTTTGGAAAATTTTTAAAAGACTTTATTTTTTAGAGCAGTTTTAGGTTCACAGCAAAATAGAAAGGTACATAGTTTTCCTGTGTATCTCTTACCCCACACATGCACAGCCTCCCCATTATCAATATCCTTCACCAGAGGTACATTTGTTTCTGTTGCTAAATGTGAATAATTTCCAAAGATTCTGCAGACCTGATGGTGAGATGATATATAAAAATTCAATTTCTTTGTAATGTGATGAGGTCAATAGTACAGCGTTCAGAGTCTCTAATTCCTTTTTCAATTTAAAAATTCCAGTGGATCAAGTTATTTTTAAATTATTGCCCTAGACTGGCTTTCCTGTAAATTTCCTGTCAACATCTTCTGAATTATTTTATGAAAGTGCTATCTTTAAAATTACTAACTTGCCTTTAAAATATTCTTATAAACTCATTTAATTTACTAGATGAAATAGCACATTTAAAAGCATTAATTTTTATTACCAGCTGTTAAAAACAACACAACAGGCCCAAAAGGGAGTTGCTTATACTAAGCTCCATGTCACCAAACCCAAAACTTAATTACAGTTTCAGCTCTCCCATAAATGGAATCTTAAACCAGTCAATCAGGAATCACTTGACCAACACCAGTCAGGTAATCTAGGGCCTGATAGACCCCTGCCATCCCCTAAAGGAAAGTAACTTCGCAATAACCAACCCGCTTTTTTGCCCATTATAACTTCCTTGTTCTGCTTTCTTCTGCCTTTAAGTCTTTCATTTTGTACAGCAACTCAGAGCTCATTTTCTATCTGCTAG